CGCACACCGTGGGACCTCATGAGGGTCAGGGTTCAGTAATTAAAGAGCACGGAGGCCAGGCAGACAGCCCGCACCCCGCTAAAGCATGGAGGTTCCTGATCGGGGGGCTGCCACCTCTCCTCCCCATGCAGCACACACTGCCCCACATATGGAGCCAAGCCATGGTATCCATTTCATAGTCATAGCATGGAGCCTCTAGGATGCAAGAACGAGACTCTGGGGTGACTGGTGTACTGCAAACTGTATGAAGCTGTCACTTTAAATTTCAGGGGGGTTCTCCTAGTCCTGCTTGCAGGCTAGGGGGCTCTGTAGGGAAGCGTGCGATCTGGGCCTTGGAGCAGTCAGTTTGCAGAAAGCCGGCTTAGAGCCAGGTGGGGTGAGTTGTGCCATTCTGTTTCAGGGAGCAGCCTGCTTTGTCTCTCTCTGTTCTAGGGTGCTTGGGTGTTGTCATTCTGGATTCTAAGAAGCAAAGTCACGTTACGCTGCAGCCTGGCAGCAAAAGGATTTGTGTTTTTTATCTACCCTCTCTGTCTGTACACCGTGAACCATGCCGCTTCCCTTCCCCTTGGGGGCTGATGGGAGTGGAGTTTAGCCAGGCCGGGATTTAAGGAGACCTGGTGTGGTGACGTGAGGCTGCCCAGGCTGGGAGCCAGAGAGAACCCCAGGGTTACACAGCCTCCGTAAACAATCCTCTTGTCTCTGTGTAACGGGGTTCGTCTCCTCTCTGCCAAGAGCCACGCTGCGGACAGTAGCCCAGATCGACCTCTAGCCAGGACTTGCTAGGAGCTGGTGGAGAAAAGCAAATGAGCAATCGCAGCCGTGAGACGACGCCCGTACTGGACTCCAACCCCCCTGCTACGAGCGGGCGTGACTCATCCCCGGTCGATCGCACTCCCCAGGCTGGCAGCTGGGAGCGGCGCACAATCCCTCAGTTGTGTCCAAAGCGACAACTTCCAGCTGCCTGGCTCATTGGCCGGCCTCGCTCCAGCGAGTTTATGGCCCTCGTGTCTGGCTCCAGCATGCATGGCACTGAGCTCTCCCCTCCCAGCTCTTGGGATTTCAGGGCCCGATCCTGGGAGATGCTGAGGGGCCGTTGATTTCAATGCTCAGCGCTTCCCAGGATCGGGCGGGATGTTTTTAACAAGCCAAGAGACACCAGCGATGATGAAAGCTTTGTCCTGGCACTGACACACGTGCTCCAGGCATAACCTCTCCAGTCTCTGTGGATTTAATACACCCCAGAGTCTAGCAGGCAACTAGGGTGCAGGCCAGGAATGGGATCCGCTGCCACTGTCATATCTGGACAGACGAGAAAACTCAGGCCAAATCCTCATCGCAGGGGGAGTCGCCGGGAAAACTCCTACTGACGCCAGCGGGGGAAGGACTGGACGGACCTTCAGACAACTCAGCAGATAGGGAGTCGCCCAGAAGGTCCCACCTTGGTTTTATTTATGACGACATTGGAGAGGAAGAGCCGTCATACGGCTCAGCCTTCAGCCCTGCCACTCGCTCCCTGTGTGACTTCGGACAAGTCACTTAGAGTGAAGTCAATGGCAAAGCCCCCATTGACTTGAAGGGGGCCCGGATTTCGCCCCTTGGCTCTCAGTGCTTCAATTCCCCGTCTGTAAAATGAAGACAAAAAAGGTCTCTCTGTGCCCCCCTTGCCCTGTCTAGACTGTGAGCTCTTTGAGGCAACGATGGTATTTTACACGTGTATGTACAGCACCTAGCACAGCGAGGCCCCGATCTCATGTGAAGCCATAGTACTGCTGTTAACAGACGGTTTATAAGGCTGTTCATTACCATCGTTCATACCTGGCTGTTATTAGCCATTTTGTCTCCCAGCCCGCATAGTTCTCTGGTTTATTGGAAGCAAGCGTGACTGAGGAGCTGGGTTAATCACAAGTGACTAGTGTATCTACCTCCACGCACAGCCACGGGCACTCGTCGCGGGCCGGGCATGTGGTTTTGAAAGCCGCCAGAAGCGGCTGAGATGCCGTCGCTCGGACAGTCACTGCCGCTTGTTTCTGTAGCGAATGTGGCTCAGCGGGGCCCAAAATTCCCCCAGCGGGCTTCCACCACGCGCAGTCTGGCTCCGCTCCCTCCAGCTTCCCAAACAGCCAGTTCTGACTCTGAACTCGCACTGATGGACACCGGGCGTGACCCCCCCCCCTACAGCCATCAGGCCTGGCCTACCATGGACGGGCACCTTAGGGACCGCTTAGCCCTTGGCTCGTTCTTCCTTGGTTGAATCTGGAGGGAGGGGGTATAGCCAGGAAGCGTGATCCCCGAGATGGCCTCCTGAAGCAAGAAGGCTGCTTGAATTTGTGCTGGGAACCAAACAAACCCTCTGCTCCCATGAGAACTGGGGTGTGCATGTGGCACATGGCCCCCTTTCATAGAATCATAGAATATCAGGGTTGGAAGGGACCTCAGGAGGTCATCTAGTCCAACCCCCTGCTCAAAGCAGGACCAATTTGCGTCCAGCGGGGCCAGGCTGAACCCAGGGGAGTACAGTGCCAAGGCGATTCAAGTTTCCATTCATCCCCTGTGCAATGGGACCTTGCAAGCTCTCCGGGACAGGAACAATCCTTGACTGTCGCTCGAGCTGCTCCTGTGTATAAAGAAAGAGCCTGTAACCACGCTCCCCTACAAACTTCCTGTTAAGGTGCAGGCACTTCTGGGGTTTCTGTCCTCCTCCCAGCCGGTTAAGAGTTAAAAGGGAGTCCCCCTCCCCCCATATGTTGGAATGCAAACTCAAATCACTGTCACTCTGCAATGCCATCCTCTATGCAAAGCATCGAAAACATTCCTCGCAGAGCACTGGGTTACACACGTGACTCCAACATGCGTGATGAGCGGTCTCCGCAGTGACACTTGCTCTTTTCCCGTGAGCTCTCTCCCAGCATGATCTGGGCGTAGGTGGTTGAAAAACACGGCGACGCGGCTAACCTGGTGTCTAAAGACACTTGGATAATTGGCTGAGATGTGGAATCGTACGACCCGAGCCTTGCGTGTCTCAGAAACCAGCCCTCAACAGAGCGCCGGGAATGCTGCCTTCCGTATGCTTGGCTAATCAGAGATTTGCGGAATGAGCCGATGGGTGCCAGGAATCACCAGAAAAAGGCACCATCACCATCCAGCTAAGATGGGAATATTTTAGCTCCAGTGACAAATTAGCCAGTTTGTGACGAGTCTCTGCCTTCCTCAGGGCATCGCTACGGGTGAGAGTTATGGTGGTTTAGAGGCCTTCTTTGGGAAAGGCAACCACAGCTCAGCACTTCCTGCGTTTCTAACACTAGAGGGGTTTTTAACTCCCACCAGATCTCACCTTCCAGGTGTGAGGCTGATCGATTATAGCGATGGGGCCAAAATCCAGTTTGAAATGGAAACTCCGTTGCAGCCGTAGGGCCCAATCCTGCAAATACCAGGCCCTTGCTTCACTTCACTTCTTCCAAGAATACTCGCGGTAGGGAAGTGAAGCACATGCCTACGGGTTTGCAGAATCAGGGCTTTAATATGCATCGGGCTTAATTCTCCATTGCCCCCGGACTCGGTTACAGATCAGGGGACTCCAGCGTGAAGTTTACTCCAGATTTACCCTGGTATAATCAACCTTAATCTTATCCCACTCCACATTAGCCAGGATCGCATTCCCACCACAAAAAATAGATGTGATGGGTGCAATATATTACATGATTCCCTGCCTACGCCCACCAGCACGCAATGGTGACCTTGCTGAGTTTGGTAGTGCTTTCCACAGATGTAAATGATAATGCAGGATGCAAAGCAGAAGAGTACATAGCCTTGGGGGTCTGATCCTGCATGCAACCGAGTCAGTGGAAATCAAGGCAAATGGGAACCTTTCCGTGTATTTCAACTGGGGGAGGGATAGCTCCGTGGTTTGAGCATTAGCCTCCTAAATCTCAGGGTTGTGAGTTCAATCCTTGAGGGGGCCACTTAGGGATCTGGGGCAAAATCAGTACTTGGTCCTGCTAGTGAAAGCAGGGGGCTGGACTCAATGGCCTTTCAAGGTCCCTTCCAGTTCTAGGAGATAGGATATCTCCTTTGATTTAATTTATTTTATTTAAATTCCTACTTGCCCTACACCACCTGTCGCCACTTGCCTCTGTGCAAAGCGGCTGTAAAACACTCTCCGATCGGAACAGCAGTGCAGGGGCCTGAGGCTCGTAGAGCACAATGGGATCAGGCCCCTCGTTGTTAGCTAGTTTCACTGGGGTGGAGGGGTGTCAGAAGACAGACACCCCCGTCCTTCTGCCATCGTTTCTTGGTCATCACAAACTCTTTGCATCCGACAGGCTGGAGAGCGACAGACTTAGCACTGGGATAGTCACAGTTCACATTACGGATATTTCACTAATATGCTTTGGAATCCCCGGGGGAAATGTGCTATCAAAGGTCAGCCCTGGTAATGATAAGCCAGATTCTGATCTCAGTTACAGCTTGGGTGAAGCCAGAGTGGAGTTACTCCAGTTTTACACTGGGGCAGCAGATCCTAATTTTACCCCACTCCGCATTAGCTGGGCTCGCATCCCCACCACAAAAGGGAGAAAGTAGCCAGCATATTTGCAGGCATCGTTTTCATCCTACACCCACACGCGGAGAAATCATTCCACCATAGTGGAAAGGTCAAGAGTCCTCCTTTTTGTCATCTCTTGCCTTTCACTCACATATCCGGGTTTTGACAGCTTTACAAGAATCACAGAGGACGCAGATTTCAACTCAGAATCTTGCTTTGCAAGCTGCCTTTGCTGAACCTTTATGCTTCGGTGCTTGGCAGCGATTTAGTAAGCCCCGAATATACAGTCCCCAGTTAATTTGTGAGCTAATGGGACCCAAGAGTGGTATTTTGAATTTCAATCGTATTTTTTCAAAATGTGAGTTCAACTGCAAAGTAAGAGGAGGGTATTTAGTCTTGTGGAGCTGTCATTGGGGGAAAAAAATTCACACACACCGAAAAAATGAAGACAACAGCGAAATCATTTGAAACAGGTTTTTGTTTTTTTCAACTTTCACTGGTTTTCAAAACTACAAAAAGAAAAAAAAAAACCCCAAGGAGTTAACAATGTTGCATTCGAAAAAGGTCCCAAAACAAAGCCATGCTTTTGTTTTACCTTTTCTTCCTTCAATATAGTGTCAATAAATAAGTAGATTTAATTAAATGAAAGAAACGCCCAGTTCATGGACGAGGAGATCTCAGGCATTTAAAAACAAACCACAAAAAGAACGTGTTTTTCCCAATTACAAAACACTTGATTTACAAAAGGATCCATGCTTGAGGTCCGAAAATAGAAACAGACAGGCACGTTCATTAGCATGCAGTCTTGGCTTTAAGACCCAAAGAGCACCCCACTTTCCCTGCCCCCACAAACATTTCATTGAATTGGCTTGCACACCACATTTCACTTGTTTGGTTTTTTAAAAAAAGCCTTAAGAAACAGGTAACAGTATTCAAGGTAACAGCCAAAAAGATTCCAAACCTTCACTTTGTTTTTGCAAGTTTTCATGCAAAACGTCAAACATTTCGGCATGCAACATTAGGATGACAATTTTATTTTTGTGCTTCACACAGAGCCGGAAAGATGTCTCCGTCCCTTTCGCCAGCACGTATTTCATTCAACACAGGAGGGTTGATTTACCCTGTACACCAGCAGGTTGCAAGAAGTCCGGATTCCACACCCGGCCCCCCCATGTGCATGGGATTGCACCTCTCGACCGGAATTCCATACCGTTCGCTTGCCTACAGACTCCCGGGATCCTCTCAGTACAGCCCCATGATGGCAGCTCCCACGTCCTTGGACGGTCTGCGGTCCTTGACCAAAAAGTTAATCATGCTCTCCGACTTGATGAGCAAGTTGCAGCCCAAAAAGAAGATCCCGAACACCACAGTCAAGGAGAGGATGCAGAGTACAGCAATCTGGACCACCCGCGTAATGTAGAGGCTCCTCTCATCGGGCAACAGGATGGACGACCCGCCATCGCTGGCCACCACCGAGCTGGTGCCGTTGCAACAACCCATCAAAGTGCCCAGGTCCTGGGTCCTGTTGGAATAAACTCCTTGCTCCATGACAGTCTGGTTGAAAAAGGTCCCGTTCATTTCGCTGTTTTAATCCAGAATCTCCACCCAAGGGGAGAGAGAGAAAAGCCACTCCTGGTTTGGAGCCAAGACAGGGGCTGGGGTAGGTCCGTCACTACCTCACTCTCCTCACCACGAAGCGTCAGGTACTGGAGAAACTTCCTCGAGGCAGCAAGCAACTAGGCAGCCAATTTGTGTAGCTGAGAGATGTCTCACTCACTGATTCCTCTGTGCAAGGATATTCTAAACCTGAGCCCCCAAACAGAGCAGAGAGAGAAGGCAAGGGGTGCACAGGGAGGGGAAATCTACAAGCAAAGAAGCAGGAGACTGCAATTTACCCTGTCCTCAGTCCCCCCAAATCCCTAGTCTCCCCCAGTGCTCTAGGAAAGCGAAGCAGAGATGCACATTCCCAGTCGTGAAATTAACACAGACAGAAGAGGCTGAATCCTGCAGGCTGGGAACTGAACAAATGCAAGTTCCAAGCGAAAGTCTATGTGGTGTTTAAAAAATCATCACTTGTCAACTCCACCCTCTCTGGTCCCCCAGGACCGCCTCCCCCACACTCACTGCTGCCCCAACCCACTCCTGACACCCTGCCTCCAGATCAATGATGCCCCCCCACCCACTCCTAGCCCCCACCATGCCCGCTCATCGCTAACCTCCCCCACTCCTGACTGCCCAGAGCGGGCTGGCCTCTGCCTGGTCCTGACACACATGCCTATTGCTGGGTACGGCTGTCTCCCACCCATCCCTAGACAAGGGATGGGTGGGAGACGGCCGTACCCAGCAATAGGCATGTGGGTCAGGACCAGTCCTGACCCCCATCTCCTGACCCCCATCCCCACTCACTGCTGCCCGCTCATCCACTCTGGACTCCCCCCAGGTCAGTGCTGCCCCGCTCACATCCCCCCCCCCAGTGATGTGCCATCCCACCCATTTCTGGACCCCCAGCCCATGGGCTGTGCCCCCCAGGTCTCCCCCCCTGGGTCTCCCATGCTTTGAAAAACAGCCTGCTGGGAATGTTAAGGCTGCCAAGCTGAGTGCTCAGAAGTTAGGAGGGGGCACAATGAAGGTTGCTCCGCCCCCTCATGCACATACCCTTAGCTCTGCCCCCTGGGCATGCGCATTATACCAGCCTTAACCACATGCCCGCTTGCTACTTTGTTCACAGGACCCTCGCCCCGTCCAATTCTCAGGATGGACTGGGGAGACAGGGAGCTGAGACCAGCAGGGGCTGAGGAGAGCAGAAGGCAGAGGGAAGAAGTGGGCTGACCAGGGGACGGAGGAGAGCAGATGGCGTTCTGAAGAGGTGGGGAATGGAAGAAGAATTTTCAGGTGAGTCCTAGCAATGCCAAGACTCCTTCCCTCACTCCCCTGGCTGGGAAAGCAGCTTCAAAGTGGGGGGGTACCTACCCCCTATCTCCAGACCCCATCCCTATGAGGTCCCCCACACAAAATAGTCCGGCCAGGAGTGGAGGGGGCTCCTGCTCTGGTCTGTTATTTTGGGGGGGATGCTTTGGCCCACTGGCTGGACTCTGCCGCTCCGTCATTCTTGTTAGGGGCCTCCTATGTCTGACCTGCCGCAGGAGAGGACGAGTGGCTGGGACAGACCAGTTGCGGACCGGGGTTCAGAGAGTGCTCCCCACCCCCCGAAATCCATGTAGGGACCAAACCCAGAGGCAGATGATGCGGATGCTGGGGGCAGAGGGGAGAGCAGGGCTAGCCATTGTCTGTAGCCTGGTTTTATTATAACCTTCCTAGGGCTGGCGCGTCATGTTCATCCCCTGGGGAGGGGGGAATCGGCGGGTTGGTTACCAGTCGCTCTGTAAACTCAATCCCTCAGCAGACAGACCCACT